AGCCCGGCCCTGCCTCTGCCCACCCTGGCCGGCCCCTCCGCTGTGTCCCAGCTGTGCTGTCCCCCACCAAGCTCCCCTCCACCCCCTCCACCCCCTGCAGCCTATCGCTCTAGCCCTGCCCTGGAAGGGACAGAGGAGCCCAGGTACAGAGTGGCCGGGCAGCACAGCCATTCTTTCCTTCTTGAGAATTATTTTGTTTAACTTTATTTATTTGTTTATTTTTATTTGACCAGAGAAAGACAGAGTATGAGAGAGAGAGAGAAAGGGAAAGTCAGAAAGCAAAATGCCAGGTCTGGGACTCAAACCGTGGCCAGCCATGTACGAGTCCAGTGCCCTTAACTACCACGCCACCCGCCAGGGGTAGGGAAGCAGGGGCCAGAGTCAGTGTGTACTGCTGGGGGCGGGGAGACGCTCCTCCCGGCCCAGTCCCAGCCCAGATGCTGCCCAGCCAGGCCTGAAGCACACCGCTGTCCACCCCAGCCCCCTGAGGCCCAGAGGTGTGCCAGGCTGGGACAGGGGCTGCACCCCACCTGACCTGAGTGGGGCAGGGTCCATCTGGGGAGGCCTCACTCCAGGGGCCTGCCAGGTGTGAAAGGAAATGGAGGTTTCCCTGGCAGGCAGGCAGGGATGGCCCTTATTTAGAGCCTGGGACTCTGCCCAGGGGCAGCCGAGGGGGTGTGGGGGTACCCTTGAAGGTGATGTCTTCTCCTCCACCCTAGCTCTTCCCTCCGTCCCTGGGATCTGGGGCTCCTGTGATGGCTGTCCCACCCTGGCCACTGAGGTGCGGGGGCCAGGGCCTGGGCTTGGGGAGACCTTTGGGGGCCTGCAGGGTTGTCCTTCGCTCCTTTCCCAGAAAGAGGACGAGAGGAGTGATTTCTGGAGAGGGAGCCCTGTCCCTGGGAGATAGGCCAGCACAGGGCGCAGGGCCAGCCCTGAGGACCCCCAGCCCGCTCCGCCCCTTCCCTGGCCCAGTGTAGCTGCAGCTCTCCCGGGACCTCCAAGGGGCCTCTGCCCTCGGGCTGGTGTCGCGGGCCTGGCTGGGCCACCCTGTGCTCATGGAGGTGAGGCCTCTGTCCCAGGTGGTGGGGAGAGGGCAAAATCACCCAGCTCTGCAGCTGGGTTTCCTAGGGCTGCAGAAAGCCACTTGTTACGAGGCGACCACGTGAGTGGTCGGAACTGGGTCATGCAATTTTTAATCCAAAGCAAACTCTTAAAGTCTGAGGCTGCCGTCCTTGGGCGACTCAGATGGAGGCTGGGAAGCCAAGCTTGACGCCTCACTTCTGTGGACGGCAGCTGCGGCCTCCTGGGTTAACAGCCTCTCCAGCACGGAACGACATTGCCCTCGTGGGCTGGCTGCTTCCGTGGCCAGGTGGTTTAGGTAGCCCTGGATCCCACATGGCTGATGCGATTGGAGTCCCAGACCCAGCAGCCTGAGAAGCACAGCAGGCGTGTGTGCGCATGCCCACAATCCTGCAAGGAAGGAGACATGGAGGAGAAGGGATTTCAGTGTGACCGTGCCCCGTGGGGGTGGGGTGCTTTCTCCCATACCCTCTAGCCAAGGGAAAAAAGAAAGAACTTGCCCCTGCAAATCCCTTCCGGACTGCTGCCCTGCGGCCTAGGAGGGAAAGGGAGGCTCTCAGCTGTTCCCACTATAGTCCTGGCTCACTGGGACGAGGACCTGCCCAGGGAGGCCACCAGCCCTCCTCTTGTCAAACAGCAGTCAGCACCCCCACTTGCCTCTACAGTGGGAAGGCTCAGATGTGTCGATGTCGCACCTGTTCACGTTTGTGCCTACATCCGCGCCAGGCGCGTGGCAACAGCTTGAGCACCCATGGCCTCCCCCGCAAAGCCTTGGGGACAGGGTTAAACCAGCTGAGGCCAGAATGCCCTGCCAACCCCCTGGACGTCCGGGATCCCAGCAGTTCTTCACTGGGAGTTCACTTCTGGCCTTCCTAAGGTTGCCCAAATGTAGCAAAACAAACAAAAACGGCCAAGGCAGTTAGTTAAGTGTGAGTCAGATAAACCATGAATACATGTTTCCAGGAGAGGTATATCCCATGTAACACGTGGGTGTGGGGTGTGTATTTACACATGAAGTGCACTCGGGGTTGACCACGTGCCCTGCATTTCACCTGGCTCCCCCGTTCCTCGCTCCCCCAATTGTGTACCTGCAAGAATGGTCTTGCCCTGCAACAGATACCTCACAGGTAAACCTGCTTTTTATCAGTTTTGTTTTCCTGGGGCTGAAATAGCTGCCACTTTTTGCATTTGATAGTTTTACAATCGCAGCAGTAAGAAATTCCGGTTAACAGGTTGATTGAATATTTAACTACCTAGAAAATCATTCTCGCTTGTGTGTCCGCACCAGACATGTAAACAGATTCCCAGTCACGCCCTGGAGTGGCTGAGTGTAACCTGGGAGGTGCTTGTCACCTCTGTAGCGCATTTGGTGCCACCTCGAGGCCCCTGCGGCCGTGAATAGAACTGTCGTTTGTGTTTTGGGCCCAGAAGTGTTTTATCCCGGGACCTCGCTGCAATGAGGTCTTGGTCTTTTACAGTTATTATTGCAGTAAAATGTATATCCTACAGAATTATGACAATATCCAGCTACTAATGGGAGGATTGTGTTTGTTCGCGTGTGTTTTAAAGCCATGGAAATACAATTTACTTCCAACAATACAGCTGTAATTTTATGTCCCTGAAACCGACTGTAAATAATGAACGTAACAACAGAATGCCTGTAAGGAAACACGTAAACTGTTCTTCTCGGAAAAACTGGGCTGGTCCTTTCTGTCCTGCCAGGCTGCCAGCTGGGAAGCAGAGCCCAGCAGTTATGGCTCCTGGGTGGACGTCGAAGGCCGACGTGCCCTCACTCCAGGGCCCGGGGAGAAGTGCTCCATGTTCCAGAGCCTGAGTGGGCTGTGAACTGAGATCAACAGGGACCCAACCTCGAAGGCTGGCCACAGGCATTGAGAAGATGGGCCTGCAGGGAGTGGGCTCGCCCTGCGAGGTCCCTGTGTGGGCTCCTGCGGCTGCCAGGACAGAGTACTTCAGAACAAGTAGCTTAAAAGCACAGGAAGCACGGTGCTTAAGGCGCTGGACTCCCACATGACTGACCGCGGTTCAAGTCCTGGACCTGGTAGCTTGCTTTCTCACTTTTCCTTTTTCTCTCTCTAGTGAGCACACATGTCCTATAGAAAATTTAAAAATAATAATAATAGTAAGTTTAAAAAGCAAGAGCAACAACAACAGGAGTTGATTCTCTCAAGTTCTAGAGGCCAGACGTCAGACACCAAAGTTCAGTCAAGGCCACGCCTTCTAAAGTCTCTCGGGAGAACCGTCCTCTGCTCTGGCAGCCTCTGGAGGCCCCAGGCTGGCCCCGCTGTGGCCGGCGTGGGC